TTTGTATGTTTTGATTGGAATGATTTATATGTCTGTGCCCTTCAATACAATATTAACTTTTGATGGTTAGGAACTAAATCCAAATAATCCTTGTACCTTGCCCTTAATACTCAGCACAAATGCACATGAAAATCTGGCTTGGTAGGTGGTTACTGAATTTAATAAGCACTAGAGAGAATGTTCTCATTGAATTACAGATACATATACTCACAATACATATTATATGTATAAGACATATATATAATATATATGGTATAAGACATATTTTTCTCTTTTACTATAAAATCCTATACAACACAAGAACAAAATGCAATATCACAGCAGCAAACCATAGTATGGCTTATGTAGCCTCAAGCTGATTTTTATTTCTGTGAGGTTTTTTTAAGACTTGATAGGCTAACAATAAAGTATCCAGTATTGTTTTGAATATCTTCTTCCAGAAAAATATTACCTACCTTCTAATATCAAAGACATTTTCTGGAGTAAATAATGTGTGTTTTTTCCCCTGATTACATCTTTTCTTAAAGCAAAGGGCCTCAAATTAACTATGTATTTCACTTTGTGAATTTTTTTTCACTTTAGCTTTCTGCATGCTAAAATATACAATTAATATTTTATATTTACATTTATATTTTAAAGTTGATGAAATGACAACTCTGTTTGCAACATCTGTCTATATTTTATATTAACAAAAAGACTTAGATAATTGTACCTGTTCAAAGGACTACACTAATATTTTAAGACCTGATGTTTTGACATACTTGAAGATCAATATTCTTTTTATTTATGCCACTTTTACCTTAACCTTAGAGAACACAAATTACAGATATAAATGGATTAATTTGCTCTTCTATCAAAATAAAATACTTTCTCACACCTTGAAACATGCTCAGTATACATTGAAACATAATTTTTTTTTCCTCAGGCATTAATTGCAGGTTAAGTCTCTCCTTTAATCATTTTATAAAGCAAATAATATTTGTGAACACCATCGTTTCTATTATAAATGAAATCTTAGACTAGTTTTTAGTGTCATATATTCTTTATTTAATAAAAATGTAATCATTCTTACCTTAATCCAGACCACATACATCACGAAGAACAATGGTCTGAGAGAAAACAAAAGAATTTTGAACAATACAGTACTGAAAAATGAGACATGCATGCTTTTCTGAATACAGGTATGATTCAAACAGACAAGTGCAGATAAATCTACATGAATATTGCATCTGGTTCATTGAGTGGCTTATAATTTTGAAACTGTCACATGTCAGCAAATATATCAGCCCTGCTGGAAAATCAAAACGGAAGAACATTTCTGTTAAGTTCAATTGTTTCTATTTCACATAAGCTAACCATGACTATATTTTAAATAAAAAGTTACCTTCTAAAAACAAATTATTTTTATTCACACCAACATTAACTCTTCTCTGAGTGAAGAGAACTGAGCATATAACATGAGCTCAAAAATATTTTAGAATGAATATGCATATACGGATTTTGTATGAATATATGTGTATATATAAATATATTTTTATATATTTATTGGATAGCACAAATGGTCAAATGGTTATGTTAATTTTTTTTAAAACCGTATTTTGAAATTGATTATGTCATACCCTTGGAATATAAGTCTAGGCAAAGGTCATGATAATTACATTTCAATTCATCTTCTTCAAGATGAATTTTTACTTAAGAGGTCTTCTAGACATGCAATAAACAGTGCCTAACATATAAGCATGTTTTATTTTAATATTTGGAAAAATCTTGTAATTATTTGTTTTCTTAAAAACCAAAATCAGAATATGACTTTCAATTATTTGACCAGGTAATTAATATGTCTTGACTATGACTTATTTAAACAAACAAAATTTGTGACTTTGTAGGTGAATTTGTAGGTAGGGGTAAGGGTAGAAACCCAGTTTAATCAAGCTGTTATTGTTACTCTGAAGCAAATAACAGTGCATGCTTCAGATACTGTGCCACGATTTGGAGATAAGTGTGAATTGTTGAGAAGAATTTTAGCTTTTCTTTTTTACTCTTACTTTTTTCCCTCCTTCCTTCCTTCCTTTCTTCCTTCCTTCTATTAGAGCCATTCCCTTCTAGCCTAATTTTGGAAGAATCTTATTGCTGTTCTATTTACAATATAGTCTCTAAGATGTAATAGTGAAGCACAATATTAGAATTTAGGTTAAAACTTTGATACTAAAGTATTTTTATTCTACATTACTTTTTGGAAATAATTTCTTTTTAGTGGTGTTCCGTTAAAAAAATAAACAAAACTCCTTGCAAGTCTAGTTAATTTAAAAACTAGAAGTTTAGAAATAGATTAACATAGCTTAAATTTCTAAGTTAACAGATCGTATTATAGATTCCTTCGGTTTATCAGAATATAGTATATTTTAGGCATTTATAAGGAGTGTCGTCTTTGGACAGAAGTTTCCCCTTAGTGAGCTGTTAATGAAATCTATTAAACTATTCACTGTAAGTGAATTTAAACATTTAAACATAAGAAATTCAAATTTAATTATAAAAAGGTCATGAAAATATACTGTTTGACAGTAAATAAAAAGATTATCTTGCATCAAAACATAAGGATACTGAATCACCACTTTTAAGGACATTATTTCGAAATAATGATTTATATTATAATGTAGCTTTTTAATTTTACAGCTTGTAAATTGTAAACTGAGTTTGTTAAATCATATTACAAATGATATTGACTGTCAGTATCATGAAGAGTGATAAAATCAGCAGCAAAATCAGACTTTACTCCTTTAAGTACAAATATATAAAAATCTATATTTGGTTGTCTCTTCATAAGTGATTTATTTGCATACATTTAAATTGGCGTTGGACACCTTTAAAGAGAGGCAGAGTTTGAATTCATAATGTGAATGAAAGTATAGTCACCAATGGGAAACCTTCCTCACATTCTCAGAATCACTTGCAATTCACATTTCTGTCCTTGCAGCGGAATTAGACGTGGCGCATCTTTTGCCCTCCTTCTCTTTGCCTCCAATTGACTGTACAACAATTAACTGAAACCACTTCAACTGTATGTGACACAAACACAGCCGCGCGGAAACGCGTCGAGTAGAAGGGTGCTTTCTCTTCCAGAATTCTGTAAGCGTCGACCGCTGACCCTTTGCTCCTTTATCTACTAACTCTCCCAAATTCTGCCACTGTGCCATTTCCCTCCCTCTGCCCTCTGAAAGGAAAATATCGTCCATCCTACGTAATTCCACAGCTTTCTCTTCTCAGCTCACTTTCCTCCATTGCCATAAATATTTCTTCAAAACATTCTGATGACTTGATTTGGGCTTTTGGAAATCACTCGACTGTGATACCCCAAGTCCCTTCAAGAAAGAAAATAATAATGATGATGATGGCGATGATTAACAGTGAATAAAGACTATTACAGAACCCCCACACCAGCGATTTGGGCTCCTCGGCGCGCCCTTCAGAAACGCATTAAGTTTGGCCTGAGAGCATTCCTCCTTCCTTGTAGTTCCTTGCATGATAAGCCGCTTCACTTGCAAGCAGTGGAGGCATTTTTGTTGTCGACTAACCCCCTCTAGCGCCGAACTGGTAGCATCCGAGCCGCGGCTGCCAGGCGGGCTGAGCGCCTGGCTGGCGGAGCTTAGCTGCCCTCCGGCTCCGTCCCTGCCCACAATGCCCTCCTCGACCGCGGGGCGAGAGCTTGAGGGCCACGGGCGCCGGGCCCCTCCTTGTTAGCCCCGCGTGTTGCTCCCCCCGCCCCGCTGCCGGGCGAGGGCCGCGTGATCCCACCAAGCAGCCGGCGCCGCGGCTTCCCAACCGCCCGAGCGCTGGGGAGGGAGTGGGGTGCCGCGGAGGGGGCGGCGTTCGG